GGGCCGCGCCGCGCGCTCGTGGGGCATGCGGGCGCCACTGTCACTAGGGAGGCGGAGGCCGTGGAGCGATGGAGGTTCGGAGCTCGAGCTGGCGGCTGCATCACGCTTGCCGTGACGCGTTCCTGCGCGGCCACGTGCCGTTGAAGGCATACGCACTCACAGACGCCACCCGCACTCACATACACCCCCGCCCCCTCCCTGGCCGCCCTCGCCTTCCCCCAAGCCTAACGCCCAAACAGCTAGCGCCCTCCTGGCCCGTCGTCGCCGGCCTGCTGGCGGCCAAGGCGCGCTGCTACGCGGGGACCTACCGCGCGCAGATGCCTGCGGTCGTGGACGCGACGGGCCTGCCGCCTGGGGAGGTGGTGTCGCAGCTCGCGGCGCTGGCGGCCGCCAAGGAGGTCAGCTTCGACCTGTCGCCAAAGCAGGCGCTCGCGTGGAAGGTGGGCGGACAGCAGGGCGCGCTCTCGAGGCCGAGGGGCCCGGCCGCGCCGTCAAGGGCGTGGGCGCTGCGGCAGCCACTGCGCAGGGGAGCTGCGCTGAGCACTCCAGGTGCGGAGGGCGTGCCGGCCCTGGTGACCGGAGGAGCCCCGCTGCTGGCCCTGTAGTGGGGTGCGCCAGCCGTTTGGCAGGGCACATGCGGCACCCCCCACGTCACCCCCCTCCCTGGTGACCCGACCCCACCAGGTGCTCCACACCCCGCACGACCTGCCCGGCCTGGCATCCCGCCTGGCGTCCCGCCTGGCGCGCGTTGTGGCGTCGTCTGTGTCGCGCCTGGACGCCGCGTACGCCGCGCTGGCGGGCGCGGCGGTGTATGGCGGCGACGCGGACGCGCAGGAGCGCCACCTGCGGGGCGCGATACGCGACTACTTTGGGGGCGACATGGTGCAGCAGCAGGAAGACCAGCAGCAACCGGCACTACACCATCATCATCATCATCATCAGCAGCAGCAGCAGCAGCAGCAGCAGCAGCAGCAGCAGCAGCAGGAGGAGGAACAGCAGCAACAGCCGCAACAACAGCAGCAAGAGCAAGGGGAACAACAGCAGCAGCAGCAGCAGCAGCAGGAGGAGGAGGACAAAGAGGAGGCTCGACAGCAGCAGCAGGCAGGGGAGGACGATGCGTGGGAGGCGCTGTGGGGCGGCTCCAGCCCTGTGCAGCGGCCGCTTCCCGACCACCTGCGCCGCATGGTGCGCGGCTTCCTGCGTGCTGAGGCGGCGCGCATGCGCGCCGTGGGGCGAGAGCGGCTGAGCGGGCTGGCGGTCGCGCGCCTGCTTGCCGGGCTGGCGAGCCCCGCGTTCCCGGCCGATGCGTGGCGCCGGGTGTCTGAATGGGGGCGGCTGCAGGCGGTGGATTTTCCCCTGCTGGTGGCAGCGGCGGATGCCGAGTTGCCGGCGCTGTGGGAGGATGAGGGCGGTGCAGCGTGACACGCTATGGTTCATGCAAGCCAGCAGGCCATACACCTGCCCCACCAATCAATTTACATGAACAGTAACTTACAGACATAACAACTATCATACGCGTGATGGCTCGCGGTGTGCAGCACGGGAGCCACCAAGCACTGCTGTTGATGCGGTAGCACAAGCAGCGGAGGGGAGCACGGTCATCCAAGCGCCATTGCCGAGCAGGCGACCGCAGCCGTTGTTTGGCAGGCCGCACAAGCATCACAGTGCCGGTTGCCAGACGATGAACTCAAGCCTCTAATACCGTACAGCAAGCACGCCGGCCGCTGGCATTCCGCCCGCCCAGCGGCCACCCCAGTTCAAAGCAGGACCCCGCCAAACACCAAACCATTGTTCGCCTCTAGCCCTCTGCACCGTCCCCAACTTTTTGAAAACAACTGCACTTAGCAGGTGAGGCATTGCAGAGAGACCCAGCTATGGCGAGCAGCCCCGGTGTTGTGAGCGTGATAGCAGGGCCGGCTAGGGATCGCTCTGCTGGCCTCCCCGCAGCCTCCCTGCAGCACGCGGGGCATCACAAGAGTATCCTTTGTCATCTGGGTTGCACCAGTGCCTGGGACAGGGCCGTGCAGGCGCCGCCCCCCTCGCGCGCTCAACAACGGGCTTGCCAGAGCCAGCAGTGGCGCGATCGCCAAGCCCCCAAACTCATCGCCTGCCCCCGCATGCCCCCCAGACAGCAGCAGCAGCCATGGCCAAGGCTGAGAAGAAGGAGACCAAGCCCAAGGCTGAGAAGAAGGAGAAGCCCGAGAAGAAGGTGCAAGCTGTTGCGGACGGCAGCACCGGATGCTGCCCTGTGCGGTGGCTGCTATCAGCGGATGGCTTGGGTGTTTGCTTCATATGCAACAAATGGCATGGCATGAGTTTGTTCATGCAGCACAGCCTATGGTGCTTGGCTGCTCCATCAGCACCCATGCTGTGGCCTCAGCTGACGCAAGTCGTTCCACACTGCGCTGCTCCCCTGCGCAGGTGGTGGAGAAGAAGGCTGCCAAGCCCAAGGCTGAGAAGAAGGAGAAGCCCGCCAAGAAGGAGAAGAAGGAGAAGGTGGGTCAAGGGCGAGGCACCGGCTTGTCTGTTGCGGTGGGCGGCTGCCCGAGCTGTTGATGCTGCCGTTGTGCGTCTCCAGATGCAGTCCGCGCCATCCGGGGCCCCCTCCAACAGCAAGTCTTCAACATGTTTTCCTGTTGCGCCGCGCAGGACCCCAACGCTCCCAAGCGGGCACTTGGCTCCTACATGTTCTTCTCAGCAGACAAGCGCGGCGAGGTGGGGGGGCACGCCGGGCAGCTGGGGTGCAAGGGCACACCTAAAGGTGGCAGAATTCGTGCTGGTCCGGGATGGTGTGTGGTGTTCCTTCAGCGTGTGGCTTGTGCGTGAATACTGTATTTGCTTTTCATGTGTTGCTCTCAGCTGCTACGTCTGGCCCCAACCATCCTTGCGACCAACCACCTCTTCAGTCTTCACCCAGTACCCACTCCACCCCCCGCAGATCAAGGAGAAGAACCCCTCCTACGGTGTTGCCGACATTGCCAAGGAGCTGGGTGCCGCTTGGAAGGCCCTGGGCGAGAAGGAGAAGTCAAAGTACGAGGAGCTGGCCAAGAAGGACAAGGAGCGGTACGAGAAGGAGAAGGCCAAGTACGACGCCGGCAAGTAGAGGGGGCGCCTGCGGCTTCAGAGGCATCTGCGCCTCGCAAGCACACCCTGTTGTTAACGTATGTGTGTGATGTCACCTGCAACCCTCCATGCACGAGCGCTGCCGCATCCGGCGCGCACGAGCCAGCAATGGTCCTCCCAAGCACCAGACAGAAATGCACACCCGTGAACCTACATCTTGACCTTTGACTATCACCCGGCTTTCAAGACCGCTACGACGCTGCGACCTGCCACTTTACACCTGCATCTTGCCTGGTTGTGCCTTACCTACATCCATCATCGCAACCACAATCAAAGTGTAAAGCACACACCGCTTGGCGCCAGGTGGTCAACCCCCTGGAGGAAAATTGTTAAGCGTGCTTGACGGCAGCTGTCCATCACGGGATGGACCACTTGAGGCCAATAACCATCGAGTCAAGTGGATGGGCAGCAAATTTTGATTGCTGGAGCGACTGGGCACAAAGCAGCATCAGCTGACGAATATACAGCAGTGTTTGTACAGCAATGATATTTCCAAACGGCCTTTGACATAGCCACACACAAGTGGAAAACGACTCTAGCTACACACTAGCCAGAAACCGCAGGAAGGGGGTCCTTCTGTGGCTTTTCCCAGGCGACATCCAGCGCAGGCACCGGCGGCAACGACTTGCCACGCACCCGCGCAACTGCAGTCCTTACATTCTCCACCACCTTGCGCACGGCGCCGGCCGCCTTGCCCACAGCGGCACGCTCCGACTCAGTCGCGTTGGCCACAGCAGCACGCGCGTCTTTGACGGCCGCGCAAGCAGCCTGCAGTGCGGGCCGGGCTGCCGAGTCCCCCAGCACGGCGCCCACCAGTGCCGACGGCTCGTCCAGGCGCAGGCTAAAGCGCACGACCGCGATCCCTAGCATCCGCAGGGCTCCCAAGAGGTCTCCGTGCACTTCCTCTCTGACAGCCTCCAGGGAGGGGACGCACATCCAGGGCGACAGCGGGCCAAACAGGGCGAGCGCCGCCGCCGGCGGCATCGCACGGATGCGCGCCGCCAGGCCAGCCGCCGGCCCGGCCATCGCAGTTGCGAGTGCCGCGCGGCGCTCAGCGGGCATAGCCCTGAGCGCCGCTGCAAGCGCCGACACGGATGCGAAGCGACGTGCGTCCACGCGCAGTGAAAACAGGTCCATTTCTGAGGGCGAGGCTCGCGGCTTCAGCGCGGAATACGCCTCCCACAGGTCCATTGAGGAGTTCAGGACCGCCGCCGTGCTGGCGTTGCAGGCGGTCTCAGGGGAGTAGAGTGTGTGGCACGTGCGTGCCAGCCAAGAAAAGACGCGCTTGCCGACTGCGGCATCCGCGTCGGCGGCCGCCTGGTACGCTGCCTGCTGTTCCGTCAGCCAGGTGGCGTTGACCTTGTACTCCAGGTGATGATCGTTGCTGGCGTTGTCGACGGCCGCTGGCGGCAGCCCGGCGGCGGGGCTCAGGAGCTCGTCGCCAGGCGCGGGCGCGTCGGGGTATGCTGGCGCGGCATTGCCGCTGCCGCCAAACTGCCCCCTGGCGCTGACGTTCATGCCCATTGAGATCTGCGCGCCCAGCATGCCCCAGGTTGCGAGCCCTATGCCACCAAAGGCCGGCTTGAAGATGTTTGCAATGGGGCAGACCTGCCGGAGGGAGTCGTCGCCATACGTGGGCAGAGGCGCTTACGAACGCAGGTGAGACAGCCAGGCTTGAAAATGGGACGTGTTGTGGTGTGCAGCAGGGAGTAGCTGGCGACGTCGTCGCTGCCACAGAAGTTCCAGGCGCCATGCTGAATCCGAGGGGCCCTCACCTGGTCCTTGAAGGCGTTTGGCAGGGCCGCGATCTCCTTGTGTGGCAGGCGGCACAGCTGCTGCGGCAGAGCCTCGTATGCGGCCGCCACATAGGCGTGCAAGGGCTGGGGCAGGTAGCCCTCGAGCGTCTTGGACCGCATACGCGGAACGGCGTTGCCAAACCTGCGCTCGTGGCAAGGTGATACGTCCCTGTGTGGGCCTTTGTGCACGGCTGGGTGCACAGCTTCCTGGATCTGCTGCAGACACGTGGTGGGGCACGTGGATTCCTTCTACATCCTCCAAGACGAGCGCTTGCAATCAGGTGGTCAGGCATTTTGCATTCAGGGGGAGCAGCAGGCTGGTCGTTGGGTGGCAGCATCACGGCACTGGTGTTGCGGGCTGGCTCACCACCACATTGCGGTCTGCACCACGCCCTCGCTGGGGCCCTCGAGAGGGTCGCGCCAAGAGAACCACCCCGGCAGCTTGCTGGGCAGCTGCACGGCTGACAGGTGGGAGAGCAGGCCCTCGGCCGGCGCCCTGCTGTCCAGGTGGGTGCGGTACGTGCTGTTGGCGGCCGCAGCCCAGGACGCATTCCATTTGCAGGCCGCCCTCGGGTCTAAGAAAATGTCACACAGCCGCCGCTCCAGAGCGGCGGCCGATGTGGCATCCGGCTTGACCAGCAGGATAGCGGCGGCGCCGAGCGTGCGCGGCGCTGCAGCAACGTCTGCGTTAAATTCAGTGCTCAGCGACAGGCGGCGTGAGCCAAGACCCCCCTGGCTGGCCTTGAGGGGGCACAGCTGCGCGCAGATGGGCATTTGGGAGATCCCCGGGGGGGGGGGGGTGGTCAGCGCGGACGCATGTACCCCAATTGTGGCCAGAGAGCATCGGCATGCAACACCGGGCTAAGCTGCAGTGCCCTTGCGCAGCGCACTTACACCCCTGGGCAGGTGCGCCACCTGCGTGCTCTAGCAGCTGCACAGCAAGACAGCGTCCAGCAGCACCCACCTCGTCCATAAACCTAGTTGGCAGCGAGACCAGCTGTACGGGGTGGAGCCTGCAAAGCTCGGTAGGCAGCCCCTCCAGCACGCCACGGACGGCTGCCTGCACCGCCGCACTGGGCAGCCTGGTCTCCAGCCAGCGCCACTGCAGCGGCAGCTGTGCCGCAGCCACGCTGGACACCGCCCCTGCCAGCAGCACCAGGAGCAGTACAGCTGTTCGCGCCATGATCGGTTGTGGATGTATGTCTATTTGATTCAAGTTTGGAAAATCGAAGCTTTGCGAAGGGGGTGGGACGCGGCGGATGAAAAAAACCCGGCGACAGGTGGTTGCTTTTCAAGTGCACAACACAACTTGTAAATTTACACGAAGGTATAATAGAAAAGCGGGTCACGGCTTCTATGTGTGTGTTGTGAGCATCCGCGTATCGGCAATCGCCTCAGCCGTGCAGCACCTGCCCCTGGACGGCGGATCTGCTGACTGTGTCACCACAACCTGCGGCCTGTTACCTGCGGCGGAAGATTTGGCATGATTCAAAAGTTCTTGTACTCCATTAATACGTTGTATCTGACAACTCCAGCAGCAGACCAGGGCACCAACCCTTGCAGGACTGGGTGACTGAGCTGGCGCCTTGTATCACCCTGGTGCTCTTGAATGCAACAGTGAAGCCTTGTGTGTGTTTATGTATGTGTGTCTATGTTTGTGTGTTTAATACATATTTGTGTGTTCTAATTTGCAGCATATTCCCGTTCGTCAGCTTGACCATGCACCATTGTTGCCTGCACAACTTGTTAATGGCAATTGTTTGTGAGGCTCCACTCACGGCTTTTACACAGGGGTCCTATTACGTACTTTGACGCCAACCTGCATTTCAGAAGAAAAATTCTCTTCACTAGTTTCAAGAATTATGTGCTCTGCCTTGTGTGCACACCATTTGGCCTGCTGCACCTCTTCACAGGGATCCTGAGTACCCTTTGCTTTTCTCTGAGGGGGTGCCACTGGCTGCAGGCGCAGTGCGCGCGCCTCAAAGCATTCTGACATACACACGCAACTGCTTCGGTGCCACTCGCCACTACCTCGTCTGCTGGTGCGGCACACAGAAGCTGTCTGTGACTTTCAATGTGTGCAATCGACATCGTGTCGCTCCCACAAAGCTTCCGCACTGCAACAACCCATGGAAGAAAGCACTGCACCCGCGGCTGAGGGATGCTCGACCCCACCCATAGCACGAGATTGGTTTAGGGTGCGTCCATGAGCGGGCATCAACACAGCTGGTCTCTCTCTTCCTGCCCTGCTTCCACTTTTGCCGTCGGTGACAATGGAAATGCTGGTCAACATCATAACATCAGTACTGCACAGGTTGATCAATCACATACATTGAAGACACATGCAGAAAGATCACTCGCACAATCAATGAAAAATTGGTTTCTACTTGCCGGCGTCGTACTTGGCCTTCTCCTTCTCGTACCGCTCCTTGTCCTTCTTGGCCAGCTCCTCGTACTTGGACTTCTCCTTCTCGCCCAGGGCCTTCCACGCGGCACCCAGCTCCTTGGCAATGTCGGCAACACCGTAGGAGGGGTTCTTCTCCTTGATCTGCACGGGTGGGGGGTGGGTAGATGGGTGAAGAGGTGGCTAGGCGCAGGGATGGTTGGAGTCAGACGCAGTAGCGTTGAGCAACACACAAGGGAAGCATGAACAGGATGAGCTTTGACGCACAAGCGACACGGTGTAGCCAAAGACCGAAAACCACCCCGGAACATATCAAGGCTTCCATCACTAGATGTGCCCTCGCACTCCAGCTGCCCGCCCTGCCCCCCCACCTCGCCGCGCTTGTCTGCTGAGAAGAACATGTAGGAGCCAAGTGCCCGCTTGGGAGCGTTGGGGTCCTGCGCAGCGCCACATAAAGCATGTTGAAGACTTGCTGTTGAAGAGGGCCCTGGACACCTGGCGCGGTCTGCATCTGGAGACGCGCAACGACAGCATCGCCATCTCAGGCGGCCACTCACTGCAACAGACAAGCCGGTGCCTCGCCCTTGACCCACCTTCTCCTTCTTCTCCTTCTTGGCGGGCTTCTCCTTCTTCTCAGCCTTGGGCTTGGCAGCCTTCTTCTCCACCACCTGCGCAGGGGACCGAGGCGCGAAGGGTGGCGTCAGGGTGTTCGCAGACTGCACAGCATGGCCACTCGTCCTGCCCAGCTGCACCATATGGTGGCGTGCACGCCGTGATCCCATCAACGCGACAGTATTCCCGTTAAAAAGCCTTGATTATCAGCAACATGCAATCTTCACCAGTGCGAGCCTGCGCTGTTTCGGTTCTGCGGCGGACCCTGCTGCCTTCACAAGCTGGTGCCTGCATCCGCTGCGCTGCACACCCCCTGCATGCTGCACCTTCTTCTCAGGCTTCTCCTTCTTCTCAGCCTTGGGCTTGGCCTCCTTCTTCTCGGCCTTGGCCATGGCTGCTGCTGCTGTGTGGGTGGGGTGAAGGAAAAGCATGCAGTGGCAGCGCTACCACTTGTGATGCAGCACCCTCGTTGTTGAGCGCGCATGATCCAGCACATGTTGAGACTGCGCACGACTGCACAGCATAACGGGCAAAAGCATCATAATTTGTCATGCAATGATGCGCCATGCGGGGCAACGCGGCCAAAGCGACCCCGGATCCACTGGGACCGCTGTGCTTATCACCTGTTCGGTCACACCTTGATCCAAGCCTGTGGTGGGATCAACACTTTGTGCCAAACGATGCAAATGAAGCGTGGAATCAGAAGGCGCCGTGCCTTGATAGGGTACCGTATTGAAAATTGAACAAGGGCCTACAGGCAGGTGTTGAGCGGGATTTTCAAGTGTATCCGGAGCGTATGATAGGATGCCGCTGAATGGTATCCAACTATTCTAAACGTATGCAAGAATGTGCAGGGCTAACGCGCGGCCGACCGCGCCCGGGCCCTTGACTGATTGACAGGTCGCTGCTGCTTGCTTGCTCGGCAAAGCACCCGCAATGATGCAAGCACTGGCAGAGGCACAACTGCCGAGCTCAACACATCTTGTAAGCATGACGCAGGCAATTCGTATGCTCCAGGATCAGGCATCGTCTTTTGGAGTGAGCTGCAGCTCGCATGTCATTTGCAGGCCACCAGCAACCCCGCAGCTGCATGCTACCAACTCGGCTGCCCCCGCCCCTGTTTTATAACCCATGTTCAGTGATGCAATTGAGAAATGCGAGCGTTTACAGACTGCTAGTTGCAGGCCGAGCCTACCAAATCAAGCGGCGTCAACAAGCTCGTCTGAACCGGGTCAGTCTATGCATCAGCATGCCGAAGCGGAAGGTCGCCGCAGGGGCGATGCATGGTAGTGGTGGTTCCACGCACGTCCATTCGCGGTCAAAACGTCAGGGCACGTGCACATTGTGGGCGTGTGCGTTCCGTCTGTAGGGCGGTCGGGAGGACACCGCTGCCCAGGGCGCGCCGAATGCGGCAGCGCTCATGCGTGCATGGGTTGCAGGTGAAATCACACGGCAAACGTCAACAACAAGGTGAACATGTGAGAAAAGCAGCCGCCGCATCTCTACTTTCCGGCGTCGTACTTGGCCTTCTCCTTCTCGTACCGCTCCTTGTCCTTCTTGGCCAGCTCCTCGTACTTTGACTTCTCCTTCTCGCCCAGGGCCTTCCAAGCGGCACCCAGCTCCTTGGCAATGTCGGCAACACCGTAGGAGGGGTTCTTCTCCTTGATCTGCGGTGTGTGTGTGTGTGTGTGTGTGTGTGTGTGTGGGTTAGATGGGTGAAGACATGGCTATTCGCAGGGATAGCTGGAGCCAGACGCAGTGGCGTTCAGTAACACACAAGGGAAGCTTGAACATTGTAAGCTGTGACGCACAAGCGACACGATGTAGCCAACGGCCGAAAGCTGTCCCGGACGAGCTCGAATCTCGCCATCACAAGGTGTTCCCTTGCCCCCAGCTGCCCGCCCTGTCCCCCCCACCTCGCCGCGCTTGTCCGCTGAGAAGAACATGTAGGAGCCAAGTGCCCGCTTGGGAGCGTTGGGGTCCTGCGCAGCGCCACATAAAGCATGTTGAAGACGTGCTGTTGAAGAGGGCCCTGGACACCTGGCGCGGACTGCATCTGGAGACGCACAACCGCAGCATCGCCATCTCGGGCGGCCGCCCAAGGCAACAGACAAGCCGGTGCCTCGCCCTGGACCCACCTTCTCCTTCTTCTCCTTCTTGGCGGGCTTCTCCTTCTTCTCAGCCTTGGGCTTGGCAGCCTTCTTCTCCACCACCTGCGCAGGGGAGCAGCGCGCAACGTCTTGCGTCAGCTGAGGCCACGGCCCGGTGCAGACACAGCAGCCAGGCCGCCACAGGCTGTGCTGTCTGCACACGTTCACGCCACGCCCATGGATGTAAGTGGAGCAGACACCTCAGCCGTTTGCTGATAGCAGCCGCTGCACAAATCAATTTTCGCTGCTGCTGCCCGTACCAACCGCCTCATGGCGCACCTTCTTCTCAGGCTTCTCCTTCTTCTCAGGCTTCTCCTTCTTCTCAGTCTTGGGCTTGGCCTCCTTCTTCTCCGCCTTGGCCATGGCTGCTGCTGGTGTCTGGGGGGCATGTGGGTGCGGACGTTGAGTTTGGGGGCTTGGCGATCGCGCCACTGCTGGCTCTAGCAACCCCGTTGTTGAGCGCGCGGGGACGTCGCGCTCGCGCGGCCCTGTCCCTGGCTCTGATGCAGCCTAGATGACGAGAGGTGCTATTATGGTGCCCCACGTGATGCGGCGAGGCTGCGGGGACGCCAGCAGAGCGATCCCTGGCCCGCGCGGCTATCACGCTCAACACCGTGGCCTCTCGCCCTGGCTGGGTACCTCTGTAATGCCTCACCTGCTAAGTGCGGTTGTACTACAAAAGTTAGGGACGGTGCAGAGGGCTGGAGGCGAACAATGGTTTGGAGTTTGGCGGGGTCCTGCTTTAAACTGGGGTGGCCGCTGGGCGGGCGGAATGCCAGCGGCTGGCGTGCTTGCTGTATGGTAATAATCAAAATAATTAATAAAGCAGACAAAAAATACCACACACGGCGCTGTTACATGCTTGTGTGTCGTGCCGACCCAAGCTCTAGCTGCAGTCTCTGGTGCTCAGGTGCCGCGATGCGGCAACGATGGCGAGGGCGATGTTGCGGATGGCGAGGGCGATGACCGCCGCAGCGTCATTGCCGTCCTGCTCGTCATCCTGCCAGGGGTGGCCGGTCCCCTCTGTGGGCGCAGCAGGGTAGAGACGGACGTGCTCAAGACCTGTTGTTTTGAGTGAGGCTTCCTGTCGGTTGAGAGCTACACTACTGGAGCTTAAGGGCAAGCCAGTTGTATTGCAGGACTTGCTTGGCAGGCGTTGCTGCACAAGACGTGAGTGGGGGTGCGTGCGGCGATGATGGAACAACGCCTGCAAGAGCAGAAATCAAGGAGACTCCGAGGCACCTTGCATGCATGTCAGGGTGTTTGTTCAGATAAAGAAAAAGCAACATGCGAAGCACAGAAGCGATTTGCACTGCCATGAATCCCAAACAAGCATGCCGCATATTTTGAATGGCGGGTGTTTGAGATGCAGTTGAAGTTTGAAAGTGAAGAACGGATGTCTCAGCAAGACCCCTGTTCTCGTTCCGTACGTGGAGCTCGACGTAAATGATTGTGATTCAGCTGGGCGCCTCTTGCTGCGTGGGCGCGGCATCCTGGGCATACACCCATCTGCAGGAATGCCCGCGGCTCCAGCAGTGCAGGCAAAGCTCCTTTACGGCAGCAGCGCCCTCAGCCCGGGCATAGCGCGGCCCTCCAGCAGCTCAAGGCTGGCGCCGCCGCCTGTGGAAGCGAAGCCGACAGCTGCCCCATGGCCCGCCTGGTGAAACGCCGAGAGCGTGTCGCCGCCTGTGGTCGCAAGTTGAGGCAGAGCGTGGCAGCAGGTGGGGGACAAGCGGGTTGCACGTGCAAGGGGAGACAATGGTGCTGTGGGAAACACCGCAGTGGGAACCCTGCACAAATGCTTTCATCTAGATGCATTTCCGGACGTATTGCACTGAAGTGGTCACGGCTGCTGCACTCCGCACCTCCCAAGCACGTTGCTGCGCCGCGCCGCGTAGCCTCGCTGAGCGTCTCCACCATGGCGGTAGTACCCTCTGCAAACTCCGGCACCTCAAACCTGGCCCGTGGCAGGAGAGCGCGCGAGCACTGTCGGACAGCATGGTAGCAGCGTGAGCCAGGATCGCACGAACCGCCCCTCCCCACCCGTGGCGCGGCAGCCCCCCTCCTAGGCCCGCACACAACATGTGCAGGTGCTGAGTGCCATGGGCGTGCTCGCTCAGAAAGGCCTCGCACAGACTTTGGCAGCAACCTATCAGGCGTAGCGTCGTTGCAGAGCGCACGGTCACTCACTTGCCCATGGGGCCGTTCCACAGCAGCGTGTTGCAGCCGGCCAGAACAGAACGGTACTGGGCCGACGATGCTGGGCCGATGTCGACGCCAAAGCAGCCGGCGGGGATGCAGGGTGCCTCGCGGGTGCAGCAGGTAGTGGTCAGCTCCACGATGCGTGGGGACTGCAAGCGGCGGGCACGTGTTGAGGGACACAGGGAGGACGATGGGTGGTTCTAGCAGGGAATGCCGGATCAATGTGGCCTGTAAGCAGTGGGTGCACATGTGCAAGGTGCGGGCACTGCCAAACCTGACTCCCTAGGTTTCTGCGGCAGGGGCTTGATAGTATGAGGCTGGTATGCCAGGTCGGTGATTGTTTTGCAGACATTTTGGCCTGGCTGGTGCTGCTTTAATGCGCTACGCATATTTCTGTCCTACAAGTGGGCGCACAAGTCACAGCAACCTGGTTGGCACCCACCTCTGCCTTGTCCAGCGACTGCGATACAAGCACATCCACCGGCAGCAGCAGCCGGACGCCCCGCTCGGCGGCGGCCTTGATCATCTCCCGCGCAGGCTGGGGCCAGGACGGTATGATGCAATATTTTAATAGGATGCGGGACGCGCATTGGATGAGCGCAACCACACGCCATACGCTGCACCGCCGGGCTGACTTCCGGCCTCTCTCCCTCCAAGGCCCGCAGTGCGTGTTGCCACGTCAGCAGCTGGACCTTCCCTGAACGCGGGCTGAACTTGTCCCTACAATGGGAGGTTCGCACGCCTGACTTGCTGGGGCGCGCACCTCAACCCAGTCGTCCTCTATTTGCGTGGCGCCGACGCTGACGCCCCGGCCCGCCAGGAACGTGAACGCCATGCGGCCCCCGACCGCAATCACGTCTGCTTTGCCGATCAGAGACCTGCGCCACGACAGGGGTTGTGGTGTGGGACACGACGGGGAGGCAGGCACACTCGGCGTGATTGGCAGACCGTAAATTGCACTGTCATGGCGGCGCGAGCGGGCCGCGCCAGTGAGGGCGGATGCAGCTCACACAATCACATGCACACGCTCGTCAGCGGGTCCTCCAGCTGCATGTGTGGACTTCATGGATACTATTGAGACCAGTGGCTGCTTAGGCCGCTATCAATATACAACCGCCTGGCCCTTTCAACTTTTTCCACACCGTCTGCCCATGCAACCCCGTCCACTCACCTCAACACACCAATCTTGTCCTTCACTTTGGCGCCACCAATCGCTACCCCCAATGGCCGCCGCGGCCGCTCCATGGTGGCCAGGTAATTGGCCACTTCTAGAGCCACCAGGGGGCCGGGGTAGCGCCGCGGCAGGAGCGACGGCACGCACTGGCGATGCGTTGTGGGCGGGGATTGGGCGCTCGCTTTAGGCGGAGGTTTCAAAGAACGCGAGCGTTCACTAGCGAGGTTTAGCCTTAGGGTATTCATGATGCCAGTACAAAACATAGATGCGGGCTTTGAGGAGGATCAAACAGCTCTTATGATCGTGATGACATTAGGGAATTAGTTCGAAAAGCGGTGTTGTGAATTGACATGTCAGTACGTGTATCAGTGCGCTCTCACGCATGACGCACACAAGTTGGTGCTGCTCATGCATGCGCGCACACAAATACACACACGCACCCTCACGAACGTGCATAGAAACACGCACATGCACACGCACATGCACATGCACATGCACATGTATTGACGCGCGCACGCGCACGCACACGCGCACGCACATACACACACACACACATACACACACACACATACACACACAGACACACGCACGCACGCACTCACGCACGCACGTGGGCGCACGTACGCACGCCCACACACGCACGCACACACGCACTCACGCACGCACGCGCACACACACACATACACACGTGTGTGTGTGTATTGCCCACCGTGACGCTGGCCTGGTCACGGTGCGTCACGCCAAAGGCGTCGCCCACGTAGGCGTCCACCAGCTCGGCAAGCCGGCCAGCAAAGGCAGCGTCGTTGGACGTCTCTCCGGCGTGGAACCGCACGTTCTCCAGCAGCACAGCCTGCGGCATGTGCATCGAGGCAACGGGCGGGGTGCTCATGCGGCAAGGTTGGAGGTGGGGTGGTGCCATTTGAGCAAAATGACAGTGAGGGGCGCTGCCGGGACGCTTGATCTGGGACAGTTACAACGTCTGCTTGCCCAGGGGTTGCCCACACCACATAGGCTGTGCTGACGAAATCGCACGGAAGGGTCCAACGGAGGCACATCACCTTTCTTGTTGACTCCCCGCACACCCAGAGCTCGAATTGTCTCACTCACCTGCCCGTCCTGGAGTCCATCCACCGCCGCGCGCGCCTCGGGGCCGATGCAGTCAGGTGCCAGCCCCACAAACTGTGCAGCGCCCACCAAGCGCCGCAGCACGGCCGCAACCGGTGCCAGCGTATAGAGGCGCCGCTGGGCGTCCTGGTCTGGAGACGTGGCGTCCGGGCGACCAAGGTGAGAGCAAATCACCACGCGAGCGCCCTTGGACAGCAGGAGCTTGATGGCGGGCAGGGAGGCGGCGATGCGCGCCTCGTCCGCGACGGCGCCGCTGGGCAGCAGCGGCACGTTGAGGTCAGAGCGCAGCAGCACCCGTAAGCCCCGCAAGTCGGCGGTGTTCAGCTGGGCCGCAAGCTCAGCGAGCCGGCCGCAGACCTCCGCTGTGGTGGGGCCGGCGGCAGCCCCCATTGCAAAGATGCTGCGCGCGCGTGTGTACGGGGCTCGGGGATGTGTTTTTCCTGGGGAGGCTTGGGAGCGGACTAGTTGTGGGCGAGACGAAAGCTCGTGTTATGATAAATTTTATCGCTTGCGATGCGGGCGCTGAGCCCCGCTTTCCAACGCGTGGGTGGCACAAAACTCCTCGTAATGGAATCTTTGCTCGCGCAAGTCCGGGACGAAGAACTTACACGCGGCATGCCGCGCGTGCATAAGCACATAAATCGGGAAGCGTGACATTGCTGTGCAATCATGTGAGCGTGTGTGACGCAGGAATTGGGGGGAAGCATAGCGCACACGCGCACGCCTCGCACACAGACGGCGGCCCGCACGGCCGCCACCGCACCTCAAAGTGGCGCCGCGCCCCAGGCGATTTCCAGTATTGCATGTGTTCTCATTGCGCTCGGCGCACTCTCCGTGGCGCCAACGCAGGGCAACGCAACAAGATTTGCACAGCGCGCAGCTGACGCGGTCGACAGCCGCGGCCGCAGCAGCGGCAGAAGACGGGGCCGTCAGCAAGCACGACAGCGTCAGCGACTTTCAAAGGCAGGCGGGAGAGAGCCGCCGGGACTTTGTCAAGAGGGAGTTCTCTGCGCTCAAGCCCTTTGTCATCATCAGCCTGTCGTACCTGCTTTTTACGACTACAGACGGGGCTGTGAGCGACGCGTTTCGAACACGCGTGTGCGCCCATGCAACATGCCATGTGACTGCGCTACTGCCATCTGGTGCCCCTCGCCATGCAGTCTTGGGAGCCTTGTGCTGAGCTATGGGCGACACCTCTGGCCCAAGTCATGCGCACCTCCCTATGCCCAATGCCTCTCCCCACCGGCAGCTGCTGTGGTTATTGGGAGATGCATCCAACTCGCCCTTGCGCTGCCCCTGCCTCCTCACATCAATCCCATTGTTTCCCACCCATTGTTCAACATCCAGGTGCGGATGATCGTGCTGCTCCATGCATACCGCCTGGGGTTCAGCGCGTGGCAGACCGCCGTGATGTTCACGCTGTACGAGGTGGCGGGCGTGGTGACCAACCTGCTGGCCGGACTGATGGGCGCCAAATGGGGCATCAAGACGACACTGCTGACGGGTGGGGCGCGGAACCTGCGATCTGATGTTGGTCCTGGTGGGGTGTGAGCGTCGTCACCACTGTGGCCACGCAGCTTGTGGATGCATGGGCAACCGTGGCTATGCGTCTTTCGCGGCGGCCTGCTGCCACCCAGGGTCATGACGCAGCCTGCAACGCACCCATCATCGCCGTCCCCCTCCAACCCCCAGGCTTGACGCTGCAGCTGGCCGGCATAGGTGGGCTGCAGCTGCGGGGCTGGCTGGGCGCCTGAAGCTCGTGTGCGTGCCGTGCACGTGCACGCTCGCCCCTTCTGCTGACGCCCTTTGCTTGCGCTTCTCAGGGTCGGCCCTGCATCGATGCCCCATCCTTCCATCCCGCCGTACCCAAACAGGCATGTTATTTGGCTGGCGCTCGGAGTGGTCGACCCCTGAGTACCAGGGAACCGCCATCATCTTCGTAACGGTGGCCCAGATGCTGTGCGGCGTGGCGAAGGACCTCACCAAGCTCGGCGGCAAGACCGTCACAAAGCTAGTCACGCCGGATGAGCAGCAGGTGGGTGGCCCCACGGCTGCACACCTGGAGGTGCAGGTGTGGATAGGGATACGCGTGGGCATGGATGCGTGGCCAATCATGTAGGATGGATGGAGGCGCTGGCTGCATCCAGCAGGGCGCAGGGCCTGCGATCGCTTGAGGGAGGGACGCAGGGCGCTACATCTGCGCAGATCAAACGAGAGGGTCATCGTGGCAGGTCGCTGCGTTTTACAATGTGCGGGGTGGCCCCTGCTTACAGCAGTGCTGCCTTGTTGCCGGCACCGCGTGGTGTCGTGTCTATTCCCACTACCCTCAGAGCCGGTTGTTCAAGATTGTGTCTTTCATCACCGGCTTCAAAAACAGGTAAGGCCGGGCACCGCGACATCACCGCATGCCCTGCTGCCTGTTTGGCCTTCACCCTACCCACTGCCCTCTCAAGTCAGCCCCCTCCCCTTCTCTTGCCTCCCTCGCACCTCACGCACTGGCATATCCTCCCCACACACATGCACATCCCTGCAGCATGAAGGGTGTGGGCTATTTCATCGGTGCCGCCGCGCTGACCTACAGCTACTACTTTGCCCTGGGCATCCTGCTCGCCCTCATCGTCGCCGCCATGCCCTGGGCCGCGGTCGGGCTCAGCAACCAGCTGGGCCGCGCCCGCAAGGAGAACATCACGCTGCGCACGCTGCTGCTGCAGCGCCACAACGTCAACGTGCTCAGCGCCGCGAGGTTCTTCCTGTTTGGCTGCAGGGACATGTGGTTCGAGGTGCGGCCCCGCGCTCGGTCGCAACCCCAGCCAGCCCCCTTCCCCGCCCAGCTGCCTGCTGCCGTTGCATTCGATCACACATTGTTGAAGTTGCCGCCCATGCGCAATGCGGTCATTTGCTGCCCACCCTGTCACGCTACGTGTGAATGCTGCAGGTGCCCCTGCCCTTCTTCCTGCGGGACGCGCGGTACGGCTTTGGCTGGGAGCGCGTGGTGGTCGGGGCGGTGCTGGCGGTGAGCAGGGGGGGCCTCGCGTGGGGAGCGGGGCGCAGCAGACCAGCAGCGCGTGACGCCGAGCTGGCACGCAGACGGCAGGCAGTGTCAAGCCGCATGCATGCTTGCCTGCGTAGCTTCAGTTGATGGCAGGCGGCTGTTCCACTGTGTGTGACCCCCCCCTCCCGGCTGACGGCTGCCGGCCGCTGGCGCCCCCACTCGTCACGCTCTTTCCCCCTCCCAGGCATTCATCATTGGATACGGCCAGGTGGGCGCAGCCGAAACGCCTGAAAAGTCCTGCCCAGCACAGTGTCAGCTTGCATTGCTTCCATCTGCTGCAAATGACAAAATTACTTACGGGCACTGATCAGTGACTCAACTGTCTGTTCACCGTTCAGACTGTGCTCATGCCATCCCCCCCAGTTACCCCTTGCCCGCTCCCTCATGCCCCGTCTCCCGCCAGGTCCAGTCCTGGACGCCTCAGGCCGTGCTGCAGCCGCTGCGCCAGTCCCCCGCCAACAAGTACGTCGCCCTGCTCTGGAACGCCGCCCTGGTGCTGTGCCCCGCGTACCTGGCGGCGGTGCTGCTGGGTAGCAACATCTACAGCGGGCGCGACATGCCGGCCATGATCGGGACGTTCATCCCGGGGCTGGCGGCGTTCTGCGTTGTTTTCGCCGTCAACTCCAGCGTGCACAGCTACCTGATCGGTGGGCGGGCTAGGGTTTCCTCTGGGCCTCCCCGGGCCACGGGGAGTGGTCGCACAAGGGAGTCTGAGGCTGGGGGGGGGGAGGGTGCTCGGCATGGTCTCAAGCCAGGCGCCCTGCAGCCAACATCCCCAAATCCGCTACTCCCGCTGGCGGCCCCTCTTCAGCACAATCAGCCCTGAGTCAGCCACCAACCTAAACGCCCGCGGCCCAGTGCTGCCTCCTCTGTCTAGTCCTCAAAAAAACCACCACCACACCCTCATCGACGCCACGGCAGTGCGCTATGCCGAGGGCGACAAGGTGGCCATGAACGTGGGCTTCTATTACATGGCTAACGCCATGGGACGCCTCACAGGTGAGTGGCAGTGGGGCTTTTGCTCGCAGGTGGGGGCTTGTGTGGCACAAGGCAGGGGGCTGGATCAACAAAGAGGAGCCGACCGGGTGGCTTTGGCGGCACCCACCGCTGCGCTTGTTGTGCATCCGAATCAATCTGCAGGCGCCGCCTGCTCACCTTACCCTGCTCTCTGCGCTGTGCTGCACAACCAAGCGGCGCCAGGACTGCAACCGCCAGCCGCCCAACAGCAGCCCCCGCCCCCATCCCTCCGCCTGGGGAACGCAGGCACGCTGGCATCCGGCGCCCTGTACACGTTCACGGGCGCCACCCTGGTGCAGGGCTTTGGCCACTGCTTCCTCGCGTCCACGGCGTTTGCGGCCGTGTCGACGCTGATCACCACATTGATTCGGGACGACAAAGGCGGCCTGGCCTGCGGCGCGTGCCTGCAGCTCGTGGCGCCGCCCCGCGACACAGCTGAGGCTGCTTCAGTGGCAAAGATCGCGCGCCCTGACAGTGGCATCAGCAAGGGACCTGTGCACAGTAGGAGCAAGGCGGCCGCGACAGTGGTGGGTGCGCCAGCAATGGTGGCTGACGTGGAGCAGGGGCTGCAGCTGGCTGATGATGCTCCTGCACAGTTGGTGTTGGCACTGGACAGCCACCCAACCCAACAGGCAGAGCAGCATCAGCCCAGCGATCCAGTCCAAGCTGCCGCGCCCACGCTGGGGCCTATGGAGAGGGCTGCCGCAGCAGGCGCCGCCGATGAGCCGGCTGCCGGTAGCGGCGCGGCAGCGGACTCGTCTGAAGGGGTGGTGCCCCGGCTTGTGCAGCGTTTTGAGAGCCAGGGAGATCACTAAGTGCTGCGAAACATCGAAGCGCTGTTAACTGATACTGCAGGCCTTTGGCTTGAAGCTGCTGGCAGAGCCTGCATCCATTTGATTGTTGCAGCCCTGTATGCTGCAGGGTGGTCCCATCCATCTGCAACCTGCCTGAACCGGTTAACCCCGAGCGGCGATGGCCCTTGAACAACCCTTGTGGTTGCGGCCGCACTGACGGGCTCGGTCTCAACTCCTATCACTGGTTTACTGCTCTGTTTTTCTTGACGATGCCCGAACAACGGTCCCGACCTGAGCGCGGTCGTGGCCGCTCCCAATGCAGTTTCGAACCGACAAGGGCTCCCTGTTTTCAAATTGTTCAACCTTCACCCAACCTTCAGGGACGGGCCACACAAGGCTATACTGCACCCCTATTAAATTCAATGCGACGCACAAAACAACCACGCTTATGCTGTAAACCTTTGTCGCGCCAGGCACAGAGCTGCACGTGTCTTTTGTTCCCGGCAGCGCTTGCACAGCGCGTCAGCATGCGCGATCTATCACCTGCACGTGGCCGGCTACCCAGCGCAGGACGCCAAGGCCAGGCTGGCGCCGCCAAGGGCCGCGCACGGGCGCCGCCGGCGCCCAGGACACCGCATCGTTGTTGGTCAAGGTAAGGGAGTGCGCGGGGCCAACCTGCTCCAGCGGTCGATCGACCTCGCCCCACTCCCGACATAGTGCCAGTCGCCCTGGGCCCGGGCGTGGCATGCCTGTTCGTCCCTAAATCCCTCAGTGTCGGTTCTGCAAGCGCGCGCAGCATTTGTCACAGCGCGCCAAGCCCAGCCCTGTGGGCGCTCACACCCCCTTGTCCACCACGAGGGCGGCGAGGTCCACCAGCCGTGCGCTGTAGCCGGCCTCGTTGTCGTACCAGGCGTAGATCTTGACCAGGGTGCCGTCAATGACCTGCCGGGCCACAGGGGGGGTGGTGGGAGGGGGCTAAGGACCCAGGCATCCAGCAGCAGGTTCACCACACACAGCATCATATGGAGATGCACAAACTGCCAGCGAAATGCCTGCAGGGCAACGTGCAAGACCTGGCCTCTCGTCACGACCGCACGCCCTTCAGAGCCGCGGTCTGCGGCCCCTGAAACGTCGTGGGGGTCGACCCCTTTGCTCCTGCCTTCAGCCCCACCTGCGTGCAGTCTGCGTCCACGATGGACGACCGCAGGTCGTTGACGTAGTCAGTGGACACCAGGGGCCGCTCCTCAAAGCCTAGGATGCCAGACAGGTAGCTGCTGCTCGCCTCCTGTGGGTGGGCAGACAGGTTTGGCGGGTGGGGGGTGGGCAGGAGGACCGCTTGATGTGATCCGTGGGCGTGCAAGGCAAAGACCCTGGACCCGTGGCCAATCTTGGCCCTGCAGCAGGTGGCAACAGCAGCACGCTGCAAGCACGCTTTGGGATTTAAGTAGATATGTAAAGTGGGAGTGCAGGGGAGCGCGACGGCTGCCGTCTTCCCTTAAGTTGGGGCCTATCACAGCCAGGAGCCCCGCACTGCCACATGCGGTGGACCCCTGCAGGGGCTGCCCCTCACCTTGAGCAGCGCGTTGACCTCCGCAGCAGTGGTGGGACGCTCCACCTCAAAAACACTGGCAAGGGCAATCACCATTTTGGCGGGGGGG